TTTGACAAAGTGAAGCAAACAAGAGAGTTTCCAAAATCGACATATGGTTTTAATTTCTATCTAAATGAAATAATGCCAAAGATCGGATTTGGTAAAACTAATTCAGGAGTGAGCTGGTATCTTGTATGGCAATGGCAGGTTAAAGGCTTGACCTTTTTAACTTTTCAGCACATATTAGCATTACAGCAAAGATAAAGACTATTATTATAAAGAAGATTGCAGTTATTAATACAAGCTCATGTCAAAAACTTAACTTTCTTCAAATCTAAATAAAGATAACAACATCCAAATGCACATATGAAAAAAACCACATAAAAACTTATACTTACCTCTCTTTACCGATCCGCAGCTTCTACTACTTCCATTCCCCGAGCTACCGGTTTTGCCCTTAGAATCGTGAAATTTCAATTTTTCACCTTCTTCCCAATTCGCCAGCTTGGCCACGCCACTCACCAAATCAGCCACAGTTCCTGCCTTTGTAGTGACCATACCAACAAGATCCTCCTTAATCTCCTCGATTTTTGGCCACAGATTCTCGAGCCGCCTCTTGTACAGCTCAACCATCTTATTAGACTCCAGTTTTTTAAGCTTCAAATCATCTATAGTCCTATTAGCCTCCAAGATCTCCCCCCTCAATTGTTCGACGGTCCTCAAAGCACCTGATTTCTCCACCCCCAATTCCTCCATTTCTTGCCTCATTTTCACCACCATTTCATCAAGAGATTTGCACTTCTCCTCATTAGCTCCTGCCAACCGCTCGTTTGCCGAGTTTTTTAACTTCAGCTCATTAACCTTCTCTCTCAACTCGGAGATCGTCTTATTTGTTAGACAGGTCTCTCCCTTCAAATCCCCCAACATCTTCAAAGCACTTAATTTTTCTTCCCTCAAATCCTCCACTTCTCGGTTCATTTTCACCATCATTTGATCAAAAGATTTACGGTTCTCCTCATGAGCTGCCGTTAACCTCTCGATTTCCAATTTTTTTCTCTTGAGCTCGTTATCCTTCTCGTTCAAGTCGCAGACCAACTTGTTATTTTCAATCGTCAACTTCATATTGTCGGCAAAAGTCCTATCGCGGTCCTCCACAGCCCTTTTCTCACGATTGAACGACTCCTTTTTTTCCTCCATTACCCGGTTCAAGGTCTCTTCCAGTTTCATACACTTGTTCATACTTCTCTCCAACTTGTACTCAATTTTTAACCTCCCTGGTAAGCCCATACTTCTCTCCACCGGACAGACGACCTCTTTCTTAGCAGAAACATGTTTAAACTCCATTTTTAAATTGTTTTCGTGCTCGATTGGTGCAATCTGGAACTCCATGAATGAGTGCTTGATGTATTCAATCAGCTGTGAAAAAAGGATGAGCTTTTTGGAAAATCAATCTAACAACAGAGTCTGATGAACCCAATTTTCCAGTCACCTGCAAGTTTCAAACACTTATGTCAGAACCCACTTGCATTATCCTTGTACGCGTAACAAATGTTCTCAAAGGTCGGAACTTTACAAGAAAATACCACGTAAATTACATAAATCCACCAGAAAAACAAACAAACAATCGAGAATAAAGAGTTTTAAGTACCTTACCGGCGGCGACGTGATCGAAAGTTTCTAAAACTACGAAAAAAAAAGCGTCCGATGATGATCTGTTCGTCGTTTGGGGTTGTAAAATCGGCTAGGTTTCAACAAAAACGAAACAAAAAACACAAAAGGGATTGAAATTAAGGGGGAAAAAAAAAAAGAAAATGAAAAATTGGAGATGAAAAGGCGGGTTTTCAATATTTTCAAAAAGGTTTCAACTTTCAAGGTCGTCTTTTTAAATTAAAGAAAATAAAATATCTGCTTTTTTAGTGATTATCAACTGTACGCTTTATGCAGAGAATGCTTTTTTAGTGATTACCTTTCAAGAATACTCAGTGAGTCAGTGTAGCCTTATAGGCAAGTGTCCTCTGGTGTGTGTGTGTGTGTGTGTGTGTGTCTAAAAGAGGGAAAAAAAAAGGGCAATGCTATATGTACACCCCCTTTTAATAAATTACACAAAGAAAAGTGCTATATGTACACCCCTTTTTTACACTTGAGGGGGTGTACATATAGACACCCCCAAAAAATATGCAGAGTCGGCGAATCGAGGTAAAGTGTGGTAATTATGGAGATAATTGCTCATAATCAATTTATTATGCACGATTAGTTGATCTAACGATTATAAATCCCAACAGAATGATTTTATAATTGGACTCTAGCATCTTCCTCAATTTTGATTAGATTAATTTTATTTTTACTTACTTTAAACTCAAAATCTAATTAAATTTTATTATCTTTAATATTATCAATATAATTAGAACATTTTTTATAGAATTTTGTTGATATAAAATTAGAACATTTTATAGAATAAAAAATAAGGACAAATCATATAATTTTTTTTATTATTTTTATTTTTTTTGAATTGCTCAGATCAAATTTCAATTCAGATTTGTGGAATGATATGTCCACACCGAATTAGTTGGAGAGTGAATAACAAACCCAATAGATATCATTAAGAGATATTCACGCCATAATTTTTTAAAAAATGATTTGATTTATTGAACAAATATATAGTACTACGATTTTATCTAGAATTGCGTGTTATTAGTTATTAGATAACAAATTACGTTTTTCAAAAAAATTAAAGGATCTTATCTATTGAGAAAATTAGTAGAAAGGGTATAATTTTAGAGATTTTCATGTAGTCTTTTTAATTATAATTTAAATTTTTATTAAGAAAAAATGAAAAAATCATTAGTTTTTCCTAAAAAAAGATCGAATAATAGTAAGTCAAACTTTTTATTATGTTAGTCAAACTTACTGTAAAAATATTTTTCCAACAATCTTTTTTATATTAGATATAGATATCACATCCCTTTATATTAAAATTGTTATTATTACTTTATCTATATTTATTATTTCCTTCCTCAAAAGAAATTTTTCAATCAAATGGAAATAAATCGAGTGGCAACATAAGGATTTCTTTTTGCATAAAAATGTTTGAAAGGAAATTCGGGAGAGAACATAAATAGAAAGTGTAACGTTATAATTAAGATGTAATGGTTAACTAGTACAACACCCGTGTATTACACGGGTGCTTGCTAATTTTTTTCTTAAAATTTAAAATTAATGAGAAAAAATAGTTTGAAATTTAAATACCTTTTATATGAATATATATATATATATATATTATGATACTTTTTATTTGTACGACTTACTTGTGTTATATTATACTAATTTTTTAACTTAAACTATATAACTACATTAAATATAAATATATCAATTGAGAAATAATTTTATTTTTCTAATGAATTTTAATAAATATTATTATTTTTATTATTATAAAGATAAATATAATTTATTTATTTTATATATACAATATGGATGTCAAATCGAAGATCATCAAAAGATGATTAATTTGATATATTATATACGTAAAACCAATAAGAAATACAAAAATTATCTACTTTTAAAATACATTTACAATTCAATAGTTTATTGAAGGAAGCAAATCAAAATTTAGGGATATATTAGTCACTCAGTGTCTCACTATGTAAAATTATAAATAATTAAAGGGTTATATTAGTAAAAGTGATATTAAAATACCTAAGTTAGCTAAATAATATTTATGGAATACCCGAACCTAGATTATTAATTATTAATATATTAATATTATTTGTCCAAACCTAATTACGAAGCATGATTCTTCGCCAAATAGGATTCCGAAGCAGCCACGTAGGCTTAACGCATTCTGGAATTATATATAGGGAGGATTTAATATAATGTAAAAATAGTTACAATAGGGCTTGATTCCTATTGTAATGGTGTGGGGCTAACCATTCTCATAGTTGACAAATTATTTCATAAACAATCAACCTCTACACATAACAAAAACCTTCCCTCCATAATCGTATTCCTAATTTGAAATGGTGTGGGGCTAACCATTCTCAATAAGATCAAACTCTTTTGATTTGTATCTAGGGGTCTAAACGAGCAGATGTGTCGAGTCTCGCTCGGCTCGTTAACTTAGGGCTTGATTGTTTATGAAACAATTTGTTCAAAATGAGTTATTTTTGTTAACCATAGTTAATTTTGAAAAAGGTGGTATGATTAGTTGTTAGTGAAATTTTAAGAATGTATTAAAATAATATTTAAAATAAAATGATTAAAATTGATTTGATGTAAAAGTAAATGATTGGAAATGATAGGTAATTAAAATTGTGTGAGTGGATGAATAGTGAATTAAAGTTGATGTAATATATAAGAATGATTGATTTGTATTATTTAATTATATAAATAATATTAAAAATAGTAGGGTTTAGTGAAATTTGAGTTAGATTTTGAGTTGAAATAAAAGTGAATAAATTATTTGGTATACAATCAAGCCCTTAACGAGCTGATAATCGAGCTCGAGCTCAGCTCATTTATCAATATCCACGAGCCAAGCTCGATCCTTAACGAGTCAGAATTGATCTATAACGATCCAAACTATAGAAAATTACATAACAATCATCTTTTCGAGTCTTATCAAGCCAAACTCAGTAACCAAACGAACTTTAAATGAACTCAAACACGTCTCCTTTATTAAACGAGCCTAACCGAGCCAAGCTCACGAGCGGCTCGTTTAATTTAACAACTTTATTTGCATCACATTACTTTTCACCAACAGATAGATTCGGCCACACACTAGTAACTACTACCCACATTTTTCAAGCACAAATCAAAAATTTGTTTGGAGTACGACTAAAAATTTTGTTTTCAGCCACAGACGGAAGTTTAGTTGCACCGACTTCAATCATGCTCGAAAATTGCGGGTCTAACCCTCAAATCTCAGGCGCGGTTTAAGTTTACACAGACAAATTATACCAAAAATAGTACACACTTCATCCCAAGAAACACCCTCAACAAACATTATAGTGGGAGATGAAAGACTAATAAGCCAGACCAAAAAAAAAAAAAAAGACCAAATTTATACCTTAGATTGTACAGCAAATATCTTACAAGTTTTTTTCGTTTTTGGGTTGTTATAATCACTGGCCAAACAGAGGATCCTCCCCTGAGCGATAAATAGCAAAGAGCTTCTCGACATATATAGTGGCAAGCTTTCTGCATTGGTTGATTGCCTGAGGACGTATTTTTTTCACTTCCGAGGCCGATTTCTTTAGCCTCAGCTCCTTATCGCCATCAATTAGATACTCAGCCAGAGAAGATCCACTTACGAATAATCCACAAAAAAAAGTATGAAAGTATTAGTAAAACAAATCATTAGAGCCAGCACTCGAGAATAACGTTTATATACGAAGCAAGATCAGAACTTTTCACAAGTCTTTACAAATATAAACAAGTAACTGCAGCCCAAAAAAAACAAAAAAGATTATAAACCTCGTAATTAGTTATGAAAATATTTGGAGATCCACGATTGTAGAAAATGAAAAAATGTACCTGAATAAATCAACAGGACTGAATACTCCATTTCCAGACGAATTCGAACATCCTTTAGATTTTGTTTGTTGTCTATAAAGGGCACACACAGCATTCATGCAGAGCTGTTCGTCCTCTCGAAAGGCACGCAACATGTCGGCTTCGCACGTCCATTCTCCACTCATTTTATCATGAGTCAATCCGGAAACTTCTTTTTCCTTCTCATTAATCGAGACATTATCCCCATTGCCTGTGCATTTGTTCCTTCTCCTTTTAGTAGACCAACTTGCAATTAGATGATCATCCGTGCAATCTGTTTGGGTTCGCTTGCTTCTCTTGCTGATAGAAGATTGACTCTCCAAAAAATTCATGCAATTTTCACCCACGGTTGAATTTAATTCGCCTCTATTTGAAAGATGGGATGCTTGACCAATATTTGCTTCATCGTCACTATCGATTATGTGAACAGCATTCGAAGCTGCACAGCATAAGCATAAGTAGCGAACATGTTATTACTAAAGGATTGCATTGTAACACCACCGAAATAAGTCACAATTTCTTCCAATGTATACTAACAAGGATAGGAATTCAGAGTTTGGTGGCATGTTATCTTTACAATTTGTTTCTGGAGAAAGAAATCATATTTTCTTCGTTCACGCGTAAAAATCAAATTTAATGAAAAGGTTGCTCATAATGTATTGCCTCATAAGATCAGCAACTGTGCGAACAAATAAAAAAAAAAAATGCATGTCTTCAATCAAGATAATCATATGTGTTTGGATCTTGAAAACCATTTAATTAGAACAAAATGTTCTCTTTGCAGGGTCTCGTTATAAGTACAAACTATTTGTTAAATTCAAACACTTGAACTCATAAATTACGACCTTCCTATTGCAAGTCACTTGACAAAGGGACCTTTTTTACTGTTTTAAATGCAAACGTGACTATTTACAATTAAACGAAAGGAAACAAGAAAAGTAACAAATAAAGGTTGCCATAAGTGAGCCTTTTTAGTTGAAACCATTCAGACCTTTTCTTTTTAGTACCTGAATTCAGCGGCTTTTTTTGTTTATTACCTTCAACATGAGGAGGATTTCGATTTGATTGTGGACCACAAGACTCTTTCACTGCATGTTCATCATCGACTCTCGTTGATGGTTGAACAGAGTTTCTATCACCTGTCGTCATGCGCACCAGATGGATTATACATTATTATCAGTACACAATCCAAAAACTCACTTTAGCCTTCTTGATATAGATATTACATAATTACGATAATCAATCTACCTAAAACATATACACGGAAAATTTAAATTAATGAAATAACTGTCAAAGCTCAGATTTGGTACAACAAAACTTGCGAGTTAACGCTTCAAAAGATCCGTTTTCGAACATAGTAACACCATTCCTTTCTCACAGGCAGCTCTTAGATTCTTCCATAAACATATCGGTAGAAAATAAAAAGGAAGGAAAAAAAACAAAAATTGAGCACAAAATCCATGCAAGTGATCCTAATAGCGATCACTAGATTCTTCAACTATGCTAAACTCAACAGATACATCATTGCACTAAAAATACAAAATATGAGTAAAAAATCCATGCAAGTAATCCTAATAGAGTTCGGTAGATTCTTCAAGTATGCTAAACTCAACAGATAACCAGCTAGGATATTGAATGCTTAAGCAAACAAAATACAAAAACACCATAGAAACTCAACAAATGCACTGTGCTTCACATATATATAATTCAAACTACCTTCCTTTTTCGATGACACTCCACTATAATTCGAAGCGGAGTGAACTCCACGCGACAAAACAACAGCTTCTGCATCCTCCGGCGTGCTGCCATTCCCCGAAATATCACATTTGCCCCAACAATCCAGTAAGTTCAAATTCCCCCCATCACCCTCGACAAAAAAACTTCCCAAGTTGTGCGATAAACCAGCAAGATCACCCACTTTCACCGTCAGCATAACGGCTATATCCTCCTCGATCCTACTGATTCTCGGAGAAAGATTCTCGAGCCGGCTCTTGTACAGCTCGGCCGCCTTCTCCGACTCCATTTTCATTGACCCCAAGCTATCAACAATCTTATTCGCCTCAAGAATTTCACCCTTCAACCTCTCAATTTCTTGGCTCATTTTCTCAGCATCGTTCTCCAAGCACCTGCATTTCTCCTGGTAAACTCCCACCAGACAATCGGCTTCCAAGTTCTTATCTTTGAGCTCTCTGATTTTCGCGCTCAGCTCGGAAAAAAGGGCGTTCCTTTCCGATGCTATTTTCTGATTCTCGGCGGCGATTCTCTCGCATCGCTCCTCTGCCCGTTTTTCACGGTCGCCCGAAACCTTATTCTCCTCGACCAGGCGAGCCACCGTCTCCTGAAGATCCTCGCAATTCCTCCGGCATCTGCGCAGATTCTCGTCAAGATTCAATCTTTCGAGCTCCTTAGCGGCCAGGGTCTGCTCCAGAGCTCGCGCCTCCTTCCTCGCGGCGTCGCGCTCTCGGGTGAGGTTTTCGATTTCGATTTTCATGCTCTCGTCGCAGCCCATTTTGAAAAATAAGTAAAACAGATGAAGGGTTCGAAAAATGGCAGAGAAAGATGGGGAGAGTGGTTCTTGATCGTGAGGACGAGGTTAAAACGACAGGGCAGTTTTCAAAAGGGTTCAAAACTCAAGGCCACCGCCGTTCGCAGAAAACGACGGCGGTGTTTGTGGGTAGTCTGCGGCCGTTTTTTCTCTTCATACTCTTTGTTCTGTGTGTGTGATTGTGCGTGTTCGAGTGTGTGTGAGAGAGAAAAAGAGAAACTGTGTGAAGGTCTGTACTCTCTCTGTGCAGCAATAGAACAACAACAACAACAACAACCTCGTGAAGGAATCTGAAGGGTTCAGAGTTAACTGCGAAAGGCAAACAAAATTAAAAAAAACCCCATTAATATCCTTTTCATCTACCATTGAAATTTGCAGGTTTTAATGGTTTTGATGTTGCTATGGGATTCACCAAAAACCTCTCATCCCGCCATGTTTGTATGTCTGTTGAGCGCAGATTGTTCGGGGGTAGACTTTAGTCAACTCACGTATACTTTAGGCCTTCACTACAAGACACATGTTAATATGTTTATCGCTTATGTTACATGCACACATTAATGATGTACTTTTTCGAACATATTAACATCACCAATATATGCATGCCACATAAACGGTAGACCTATTAATATGTGTCCAACGCACTTTAAGAGTGGAATCAAATAATGATAAAATAGCTATGGTGTATCATCTCATAATCATAGCTAGCATACTTTATGTATCAAAAAATTATTAAAATCTTTATAAAATGGCTATATCTATTTATAGCTAGCTTATCTCACGTGCTAAGATAGCTAATATGTCCAATAATTGACTATGTGTTAGGAGTGATTAGAGTTTATAATATATAGAAGGGTGATTGGATACAAATCATAATTGATTTTGATTAAATTTTAAAATAAAATAAGTTAATTTTACATAATATTAATTGTATTGAGGATTTAGTGAAATTTTGAATATATATTCAAATAATATTTAAAATATAATAAATGAATTGAGGTGCCGCAAAAGTATAGTAGAAATTATTGAAAACGATAGGTAAGTCAAAATATGTAATGTGAGTGGTTGAACAATAAATTAAATTTGATGTGATGTGTGAAGATGACTGATTGATACTATTATTTAATTATATTGACAATATTGAAGAAAGTCGGGTTAGATTAAATATGAGTTAAAAAGTAAAAAAAAAAAAGAAAATTATTTGATTGATCAAACCGGTTTAATTTGCAACCCATCGCCCCCCTAAGTCTAACAACTGATTTGTCGGAAAACTAACATAGCGTACACGGTGGTCTATTAGCGTACACGGTGGTCTATGATTGATTAATATTTATGCGATCTTAACACGTGGTCGTACTCACGTTTTAATTGCTTCGGTTTTGCTATGAAGCCAACAGTTGACTCCATAGTAGAGCCAACATTCTATATACAACAAATAAACCTACCATATTAATAAAATTATATTAGTGTCGTTTAAGTAATTAGAGAGTGGTGAGTTTATTTGTTGTATATAGAAAGTTAGTTCCACTATGCAGCCAAATGTTGACTTCATAGCATATAACCGGTAATTGCATTTATGATTTTGCATTAGTAGGCACTAGTAATAATGGTATTACATTAGAGTAGTACTAGCTAGGTGGCCAAGGACAAGGAGGCCTTAATTTTTATGCATTTCTCCATAATTACTTTTACATCTAGTTTTAGTAAAAGTTAATGACATTTTGAGGAAGCTTCCACAAGAAGATTGTCACTATTTTCAGCAATTGTTACTTGTTAGTGATGAGATTGGACATCAAAGAGGGACTGAAGCAATCTGATGGTATATAGATATAATTGTTATGAAATACAGGGAATATAAAGAACACAATGTAAAAACCGGATCAAAATTATAACAAGCTTTCTCTCTTCCTTTCTCCTTACTTTTCGTACAAATTTTACAAAGCTCAAGATGCCTTTTTATAGGCAAAAATTTTGGCACACAATTCAAGGTGAATGATTTATTAATAGTGGCTATTCCACTTGCTACAATAATAATAGCATTGACTGATTTATTTTTCCATTTCAAGACATTCATGTCAGGGAGGGATATTACTGGTGATGATAGAACACATCACATGGGAAAAAAATAAATATATATATATATATATATTATATATTTTTGATTTCATGGTCCAATTTTTTTTTTTTTCCTTACCAAACTATTTTAAATAATTTATTTTATTTTTTTATTTTTTTTGTGCAAAAAACTACTTTATTTTGTGGGGTAATGTAAAAATTTGGATTACATTCTATGGTTGATTGAATATATTATATATATAATTCAAATTAAAATACAATAGTTTGAATGATGTATATTTTTTCCCAATTTATTTAAATTTTATTATTTACCAAATACTTCTAATCCAAATTTGACATCACTCTTTTAATTTAAAGTTTTTTATAAATTCTCAAATATTTCCCACCTGATTTTTACCCATTGAAGCACACACATTCTCATATTAATTATCTTTTTGGATAATCAACTTATCTATAAATTAATTCTTAATTTATCATCTACTAAACATGAATCGATTGATCAAATGTAGTTTTGCCTCCAAAAGTCTATTTGAAAAATGTTCTCAAGCAAATCATCAGAATTTCTGGAAATTTTTTGGACAACTGAAACCAAAAAAGAATGTCAAGCCACTCATCATCAAAACTATTTTTTTTTTTTTTATTTATTTTTTGCTTCTTAGACATATATGCAGCATTCAAGATTTTGAGATTTGTAGTCCTGAGTCTCTTTAGGGAAAAGATAAATTTGATATACTCCTCCTACATGTGCATTATTACTCGAATTTTTAAGAACGGCTCGAAATCAATAAACTAATCCGAATAAGCTTGAACGAAAATGCAGCCGAAAATATGACCCTCAACACATACTGAGAAGGAAGAGGAGATTCTTGAAGTCCCTCTTCCATATATAGCAGATGCCTCAAATTTGACGTAATTAATTCACACAACTTCAAGCGTTTTGTACGGTTCAAAAGCCTCTCATAAAATGCCATAGTTCTCTCAAATTCAGCTTCAGACATTTCAAAATCAATATATGCATGCACGAAAATTATATCAGGATACAAGCTATAATCGGACACTTCCATCGTGCTATGAGCGGACAATCCCTAAATCTTAATGAAAAGGTACAATTACATTGTCTCGACCCCACGGAGCAGAGAGGAGCGAAGGCATCTATGTGTTCGAGAGGTAGAAAACAACCTCTGTGGCGGGATTTACCAGGTATGTATAATTCAACGGGACCCTTTCCTTTATTTATATATGTGTACGTACGCGCGTAAGGTAAAGGAGAGGCTCGATATAATTGACCTCATCATCTTCCTTTTTCTTTCCTTACCGAGTCAATTTCATAAATGAAGTTACCGGGCATAGGCTTTACCCCTATAATTAAAAGCATGAAGATCCAAGTTTAAGTAAATGATAATGCTAAGGACATTTGCATGTTAGTACACAGGACAACCAGAAATCAGAACCATGCATATTAACAACTAAGAAATAGTGGATCGAATTTTACCTCATATTTCAATCGAACTCAAAAATTGATAATAATTTTGCTCTGGATGGAGAATAAGTCTTACTGATCGAACTAAAGTGTTCACAAGAGCTGAGTACCTTCAACAGAAGCTTTGGCATGTCTAGTGCAGGTTGGTCAATTGCAAGCTTAAAAAGAGCTCGGGCTCTTTCAGTTTCTTCGAAGGATATCTCTCCAGCTCAGCATACTTGCTCCATGCATAGAAATTCTTCGGTGACCACTCTAAATACTTCTCATACAATTTTCTGCACCGTTCTATATCATCAAGGTGCAACTCAATCTCAATGTACTTCTTACAAACCTGTTTGCAACAACAATTAATCAAAACTAAGTTAAAATTAGCAAAATAAAAGTTCAAGTAATAAATTGCTAATAATCAACTCTCAAAATATTTGTCGTGCGCGATCAATATTTAATTGGCGTAATTCAAACTGAGCCGCCATAGCCATATCATTGCAAACGAAAATTTCCACAAGAGGTATCATTCTTCAGACACAAATTGTTGAGTTTTGTGGTGATTCAATTTAGTAGAAACAGTAACATTTAACACAGTGAGGTAGGAATAAAAAATGGAAAAAAAAAATGGTCGAAAACTCGACCAATGGCCAACCACAGAATAGTTAGAATAAAGATCAGACAATCGGCATTGAGTGCAACGCTTGATGAAGAAAGATTCTGCAATCAACTCCAAAATAGAGGGAAAAAGAGTAAAAGACATCTAAACCATGTAGAATTAAACAAAATAAAGGATTATTTAACTTCCATCTTCATATTCTCTCATTTTAAATGCATCCAAGCTGTTGGCCATGATGAGCCTGGCATTATAACGATTCAAGAATAACTTAATTCAGATCAGCCAACCCGATCAGAGCCCAGCCAGGACTCTCAAGCATGTGTATTTGCTACACTATATATCGAAAATCAAACTATAAAAATAGTTATAATACATGTACTCATTCATTATAGCAACTAACCATGTTAGTACATTTCCCTGTTACACGAAGACAACCATTATTTATGACAACACAACACAACCAATCACCCTCATTATTAACAGTTGTATACAAAACACCGGACTAGTTACCTTATTTTTTCCACAGTTTCTGGCACGCCCAATATCTTCAAAAGCTAGTTCCCTTTTGAGTTTCGACCACGTTGTACCTCAGCTCGAACTTTATGTACGAGTGCCAGTTCTGCTGAGTGATCGGGCATCCACCCCATCAACCGCTCGAAAATCTTCCCGGCGCTCGTGCCTTGTTCAGTTGTTCCATAGCATCCGCTGGATTAGGTGTTCGTAACTCCTTGCGCTTGCGGTCCTGCGGAGGCGGTATTACCAATCTTGGCGGCGTTCGGTGATTTTCTGCTTGGGCGGCCGAATTTCGGCCTCCTGGTCCTGGCGCTCGCCGAGGATCTGCTCGCCGTCGGCGGCTATCTGGCTGGCGGCCGGGGTTTTGATATAGACGCGGGTCGGACGGGGAAATTTCACCTCCGGTCTCTTATTGGTGAGAAAACAGATATCCGGTCGGATTTCAATATCATGGACTTGTGTTGAGTCAAAATGGGGCTGCAGGCCCATTCTTTTCCTTCATCACACCATTGAAGAAATGAAGCACAAGCCCACATGTGTAGAAAAATTGAAGCACACATATGTGGAAAATTTGTAACATTTTTCATCTATAAATAGAAAGGATTTAGTTGAAGCAAAACACAACAAAAAGAAAACATAACAAGAGAGATAAAGAGAAAAAGAGTAGAGAGAGTGTATTCATACGGGTTTGTGTGAGTTGTAACATTCGGTTTATCCTCTTCTTCTAGTTTATTCTCCTGGCTTGGTTCGCCCCCAGACGTAGGATTTAGTCCGAACTGGGTTAACAAATCTTCGTGTCTTTTATTAATTTCACATTGG